TTTGATGGCTCAAGGGTGATAGCTCTGAGACACAGAAAGGGAGTAAACATGAGCACTTTGATGAGATTTGAGATCTCTAACTTTTGTTTCCTCTATGGTGTTTGGAGAAGGCTCTGAAGGTCATGATCTCATACCTAGTTTTGCTATACCGCTATTATGATCTTCTAGTTAGTTAGAAATGAGAAGAGGAGGATTTGGAGGAATAGCAAAACGGTACTAGGTTTTTATAATGATACAATTCTAGATGGGGTGGATACTCTCTCCAGTCAATCAACTCCGGCAGGCGATAAGCATGTTAGTCCTCCGAGCACGGAAAAAATTCTATTAGTGTGTTATCCAAAATTAGCAAAGGATGAGAATCCTAATCTCATTCATGAAGTACAAAGTTCTTCTTGTGAAAAAATATCTTCCTTGCCTTCCATCATCCTGATGCTTTTGTACCCAACCATCATATGACAATTGATAACTTTTCAACTAAGGATTGTAATTGTTGTAGAGCTAATAGAGGAATTTTTCCTACTTCTGTAACTACTGACCTCTTAACCCTCTAAAGCTGCAAACTGTCAAGTACTTAAGCATCCTGCCTCATATATTAAGCTATTAAGGTCAAGAGATTAAAAATGAGAACTCGAATGAAACCCTTAAACTTGATATATTAGATTAGTGGATCCTTTGACCGAGAAAATATGACCCAAATACTTATGTAAGGAAGAAACTAGAGCTTAAAAAGTTAACATCCATCATCCAATATGGAGATTCTAAGGGATGGAGGGGTAAGTTGTCTTCTCAATTAAGATTGTTAATTTGAATGTTAATGGGTTGGGCAATGTTCTAGAATGGAATAAGATAAGGAAAGTCCTTTCTAGAGTTGGTGCGATTATCATTATGTTTCAAGAAACCAAGAGGGATAACATTTATACTTTGCTTGTTCAGAGCATTTACGGCTCTAGATTTCAGGATTGATCCTAGAGCCTGTCTTGAAGAGCTTCTAGCCGTCCCTTGTGATGTGAGATATTAGGGTGGCTTCTTTTGTTGATTTCATTGAGGGTGCTTTTGCTATTAAAGACTCTAATTCTTAAAATATTTAAAATCAAACTAAAATATTTAAATAAACCTAAAACACAAAATAATTATAAAAGATGGATTGAAGTGTGGGAATGGTGCGAGGTTTTGGAAAGACAAGCAAGTGGACAGCAATGCCCTTTTCAAGCACTATCCATCTACTTTCACTATTGCTCAAAACAAAAACATTTCTGTGAAGGATGCAGTTATAGGGATCAATGGGGAGAGCAATAGGTCCATCAGTTTGTCAAGGTACCTAAATGATTGGGAGATGGAAGAATATATGGATCTCCTCAACTTTCTTGCACGTGTGCATCTGCCTAGAGGGGTGGGAGAAGCCAGTTCCGAGCCTCTATCAAAATGGCTGGTTTTCTGTCAAATCATCACATATTTTTAATCAAAGGGGCAGATAGTGTTAAATTTCCTTTTAGCATGATTTGGGACTCAAAGGCCAAGACTAGTGGGGCTTTCTTTGCTTGGAAAGCAGCTACGAAAAATATCATTACTCTGAATAAGTTGATTAAAAGAGGGAAAATTATGGCAATTGGATGCTACTTGTGCAACTACCGCGAGAAGACTTGTAATCACATTCTTTTCTGGTGCCTATTTGCTCACCGGCTTTTATCGTTAGCCTATGGTTTGCTGGGGGTTGATTGGGTCATTGCTGGAACGGTTAAGGATGAGTTGTAGGCTTTGAAGCGTTTTCCAAGGAAGAAAAAACACTTAAGGCTTGTTCCTCTAGCCACTATTTGGACTATGTGGAAAAAGAGAGGAAAAGAAGGGCATTTAATGAGATTGAATTTTCTTCTAATAGATTTAAGGATTCTTGGATTAGACTCTTAAGTTTTCGATAAAGAACCAACCATTGTACTCTAGTGAGGATTTTGGGACTTTATACATATTATGCTTCATTTATAAATACTTTGTACACAAGTTGCAACCCCTTGGTGCCTTATAATCTACACTTTTACGTATTTATACACAAGTTGCAACCCCTTGGTGCCTTATAATCTACACTTTTACTTCTCAAAAAAAAAAAAAATAATAATAATAATAATAACAAATTACTCCAAATTATGATATTCTTGTTCTGCATCAGTACGAGTTATACTTTTTCTCACCTTGAACCCCAAAAGAGATTGTTCTAACAAAATATGTGATGCACTATTAGCATGCTCCCTAGTGTTTACAAAATCACTAAAATGCTTCGTTTGAGACTGAGTGAAGTATTATATGAAACTATCTCCATGAACTAGAGTGTATTAGTTGGGGCAAGAAAAATTCTTGACACTTCTGTAATAGCTAATGAAATGGTGAAGGAAGGTCAAAGATCAAGAAATAAGTGTTTGTTTTTGTTTTTGATTTTATTTTTCTAATATAGAGAAAGATGGCAATAAAACAATGGACGATTGTTCATCCATCTAAAAGAAAAAGGAAAAAAATAGAAAAAAGGAGAAAAAACCAACATCTTTCAATCAAGGATAATGTCAGGAATAAGACTGGTAAAGAATGAATTAGGAATTTTGAATTTAAGTTACTGTTAGTTAGTTACCAGAAATTGACTGGGAATGTTCATGCCAGCTCATGATGACAGCTGTTGATACACTGCTGTCCTTTACACCAATCATTCTGTCCTTTTTACCAATAATTGGTACTATATATGCATGGTGAATACCAGAAATGAGTAGGGAAAATACCTAGAATTTAGTCCTCTAAATTCTCTCTTTCCCCCTTCCCTCTATCTATCTCTCTCTCTTTTCCTCTCCCTCTCTTTTCTCTATTTCCAACCTTACTTTTAGCCACAGTTAAAACTTAATGGGCCAAGAGCCTGACTGATAATAAGTACATCTCTACTCGAAATAAACAAAGAAAAAATCTTTAAAATGCCCATGCACTTTAGCCTAAAGAGATGCCGAGTAAAAACAACCTATACCAAAGGAACACAAAAATGGTCCCTAAAAATCCTGATATATTCTCTGATCATAAGATCTGAAGACCAGAAAAAAAGGCCTCATATCGCAAAGACTTAACTTAACCTCTTTCCTCTTCCTAGTACCGAAAAGAACAAGAAAGAAATCCTGTATATGAGAATAAGAATCCCAACAAAATCTGAAAGTGCAAAATAAACGGATCCAAATCTACAAGCATATCATAATGTAGAAATAGATGATAACTATGAGACGCAGCTGCTCTGAAGCACAGAGACAAAGCACAGGTCAGGAACAAATTGTTAGAATTCAGTCTACTCAAAAAACTACAGTCCACAACAAATACCTGAAGCTCAGAACAAGTAGAAACCTTCTAAAAACAAGCAGTGAAAACAATGTTATTATAAAATAGCTATGAATTAAGAAGGCAAAAAAAAAAAAAAAAACTTTCAGGTACAAATATCCGAAAGGTCTAAAGACCAAACTCTACAGTTAGGACATAGGAAAAAAATGAAAACTGACAAAAAACCACATAAAAAAGAACAAAAAATATGATCATCAGGCCTAAAAAAACACATAAAAGCAACCTCCTAATCCTACAAAAAGA